ACTGGTGAGAAAGCTGCAGGGGAGACCCATTTCCCCCATGATAATAACTGTTCCAGGAGCAGATTTCTTTTCCAATTTCTTCCACTTCCTGTTGTCTCAGCCCCGTTCTTAACTATGAGTCCGTGAGATGAGGTGAGCTCCCATCTGTCAGCTCCAGCATCCCATGCAGGGACATGAGAGAAGCCTCCCACAGGATGGTAAAACATCCGGCTGTCCCCTGGGCAACGTCCTTGCAGGTGGCCAATTGTCTCACACCAGAAGCAACTTGCAGTTTCTCAAGTTGCTTCTGACACACACACAAATATCCATCAACAACGCTGTGGAGCAGGCTAGAAGGATAAAGAAAGGTCACCCATGTATTTAATGGTTCTGGGGAAACAGGATCCTCAAAGGCCTGGCTCAACCCTCTAACTAGTGACCTTGTGAAAGCGGGCTCCTGCTAGAGGCTGTAACTTGGCTCTTTTTGTGCCTGGCTGTTGTTCCTCTCCTAGTATTGCTACCTCCCCTCTGTTCCTGGGCAGTTCACTCATTCAGAAAAATATGACTGTATGGAGTGGAGATCTTCCACTCGCTGGCTTTGGCATGAGCCGTCAAACAACCTTTTAAAGAATGCCAGGCAGGTCCGACAATGTTTGGGTGGCAGCAGGTGTTGGGATGGAAGAATGCCCTTTCTGCCAGCTGCAAATGAGCCAGGTGGCCAGCGAAAGGGCAGGCACGTGCCGGTGCCAGCATTAAAGGGGCAGCTTTGCCACATCCTGCTTGTGGGATGGTGGAGCCTTCTTTCTTGCTCCCTTTCTCCTTCTCTTTTTCTCTTTCCCTTGGTGGTTTGCTTCCCCTTCCCCGGCTTCCCTGCTGCTCACACTCCAGGCAGAGCCCTGTCAGCCTTCAAGGGGAGAGAGGGAGAAGAAAAATAACACTTGAATACGTATTTTTGCTGAAATGAAAGAATTACTGCCTGCATAGGAGACGGCAGACACCTTCGAGTCTCCAAAGGCATCTTCTGCATACACAAGAGGCAGCTTTTTCACATCAGTTTGGGGGGGGGGTGTAGGAATTGAAGGCTGAAGGAGATTTTGGAGGGATTCTGCTCTTGACGGAGCAGCATCCGCCTCTGGCTATGGTTCCACATGCCATTATTGTTCACTGCTGAGGCTCAAGCTTTCTGGGTAGCATCTGCTGTTGTGGAAGCCCCTTCTCTACAATGTATATGATCTCTCAGTGATTGAATTCTGCCCATGCTCTGGGGCACTATTTCTTCTTTTAACAAGGAGTCTAGTTGTGCCGTTAAAATTAACACGTCTATAGAAACATCTCCTCCGGGAGATGTTTTCTGCACTGTCACATGGTTGTGATTCCACTTTGGTTCTCTCTTATGCTGGTTGTTGTATTGGATCCCAAGTGTCTTGCACTATGTGATGTATCGGTAAATAATGCTTTCAGATCCGAGTAGGGTAGCCTTTTGCAGCTGACAGATGGTAATTTTGTCAGTGCCGATTGTGTTTAAGTGTAGGCCAAGGTCTTTAGGCACTGCACTCAGGGTGCCGATCACCACTGGGACCACGTTGACTGGCTTTAAATCCTTGTATTGTGACAGTTTTTCTACTTGTTTCCCTTCAAATCCTTCTGTCACCTGGGATTGCAATATCAACGATCCATACTTTGTTGATCATGAGGTAAGGAGTATTGTGTTTCAAAACTCTGTTAGTCTGAATTTGGAAGTCCCAGAATAGTTGGATGTGTTCATTTTGTGTAACCTTTTCAGGCTTGTGATCCCACCAGTTCTTTGTCACAGGCAGATGGTATTTGTGGCAAAAGTGAATCATTTGAGTAACGGTGTTATGCCTCTGCTTGTAGTCTGTGTGCGCGATCTTCTTGCAGCAGCTGAGGATGTGATCCATCATTTCATCTGCTTCCTTGCAGAGTCTGCACTTGGGATCTGTTGTGGACTTTTCAATTCTGGCACTGATGGCATTTGTTCTAATGGCTTGTTCTTGGGCTGCCAGAATCAGGCCCTCCGTCTCCTTTTTCAAAGTTCTATATGTGAGCCACAGCCATGTTTTTTCTTTGTCTATTCTGTTCTCCGTTTTCCCCAGGAACTATCCATGGAGAGCCTTCTTTTGCTAGTTTTCAATAATAATAATAATAATAATAGTAATAATAGTAATAATAGTAATTATTATTATTATTATTATTTGTGGCTCACAAATGGAACCTTGAAAAAGGAGACGGAGGGCCTGATTCTGGCAGCCCAAAAACAAGCCATTAGAACAAATGCCATCAAAGCCAGAATTGAAAAGTCAGCAACAGATCCCAAATGTAGACTCTGCAAGGAAGCAGATGAAACAATAGATCACATCCTCAGCTGCTGCAAAAAGATCGTGCAGACGGACTACAAGCAGAGGCATAACACCGTTGCTCAGATGATTCATTGGAACTTGTGCCACAAATACCATCTGCCTGCGACAAAGAACTGGTGGGATCACAAGCTGAAAAAGTGAACACGTCAAACTCCTCTGGGATTTCTGGATTCAGACGGAGTTTTGGAGAATACTCCTGACCTCATGATCGTGTTAAAAAACAAAGTATGGATTGTCGATGTTGCAGTCCCAGGTGACAGGAGGATTGAAGAGAAACAACTGGAAAAGCTGACATGATATGAGGATTTAAAGATCGAACTGCAAAGACTCTGGCACAAGCCAGTCAAGGTGGTCCCAGTGGTGATCGGCACACTGGGTGCAGTGCCTAAAGACCTTGGCCTGCACTTAAACACAATCAGCGCTGACAAAATTACCATCTGTCAGCTGCTGGGATCTGCACGCATTATACGCCGATACATCACACAGTCCTAGACACTTGAGAAGTGTCCGACGTGTGATCCAATTCAACAGTCAGCAGAGTGTCTGCTGTGGACTCATCTTGTGGTGTTTCAAATAATAACAATAACAATAACAACAACAATAATAATAATAATAAATACATCACACAGTCCTAGACACTTGGGAAGTGTTCGACGTGTGTTCCAACTCAACAGTCAGCAGAGTGTCTGCTGTGGATTCATCTTATGGTGTTTAATAATAATAATAATAATAATAATAATAATAATAATAATAATATACATCACACAGTCCTAGACACTTGGGAAGTGTCTGACGTATGATCCAATTCAACAGCTAGCAGAGTGTCTGCTGTGGACTCATCTTGTTGTGTTTCAAATAATAATAATAATAATAATAATAATAATAATAATATACATCACACAGTCCTAGACACTTGGGAAGTGTCTGACGTGTGATCCAATTCAACAGCAGCAGAGTGTCTGCTGTGGACTCATCTTGTTGTGCTAATAATAATAATAATAATAATAATAATAATAATAATAATAATAATAATAAATACATCACACAGTCCTAGACACTTGGGAAGTGTTCGACATGTGTTCCAACTCAACAGCTAGCAGAGTGTCTGCTGTGGATTCATCTTATGGTGTTAATAATAATAATAATAATAATAATAATAATAATATACATCACACAGTCCTAGACACTTGGGAAGTGTCTGACGTGTGATCCAATTCAACAGCCAGCAGAGTGTCTGCTGTGGACTCATCTTGTTGCGTTTCAAATAATAATAATAATAATAATAATAATAATAATAATAATAAATCACACGTCCTAGACACTTGGGATGTGTCTGATGTGTGAGCCAATACGACAGCCAGCAGAGTGATCTTGTCTGCTGTGGACTCATCTTGTTCTGTTTCTAATAATAATAATAATAATAATAATAATAATAATAATACATCACACAGTCCTAGACACTTGGGAAGTGTCCGATGTGTGATCCAATTCAACAGCCAGCAGAGTGTCTGCTGTGGACTCATCTTGTTGTGTTTCAAATAATAATAATAATAATAATAATAATAATAATAATAATAATAATAATATACTTTATATTCCACCCTATCTTGGGAAGGGTCCGACGTGTGATCCAATTCAACAGCCAGCAGTGTCTGCTGTGGACTCATCTTGTTGTGTTTCTAATAAATAATGAGTTCGAAGCCAGCCCGGGTTGGAGTGGGTTTCCAACCAATTTGTGTAGCCTGTTGTCGACCTTTGCAACCCGAAAGACAGTTGCATCTGTCAAGTAGGAAAATAAGGTACCACCTTAAAGTGTGGGGAGGCTAAATTAACTAATTTATGAGGCCATAAAAAAAGACTCCAGCAAAAGCATGCGGGGAATGCGGAAGTACTTCATCAGTGTCGCAGATGGACGATGAAAGCGACAGCTCCCCTGGCGGCCAGAAAAAGTTAAATAGCCTCTGTGTATGTCTGTATATGTTGTATGTCAAAATTGGCATTGAATGTTTGTCATATATGTGTACACTGTAATCCGCCCTGAGTCCCCTGCAGGGTGAGAAGGGTGGAATATAAATACTGTAAATAAATAATGACACTGTTCCAAGACCTCACTACCTCTGAGGATGCTTGCCATAGATGCAGGCGAAACGTCAGGAGAAATGCCTCTAGAACATGGCCCTATAGCCCGAAAAAACCCACAAGAACCTAGTGATTCCAGCCACGAAAGCCTTCGACAATACTGTAAATAAATACATAATAATGATGATGATGATGTTGATGATGATGATGATGGCAATAAACAGGAAAGAACACTTTCAAACCAGGAACAGAATCCCTCCCAAATGTTGTTAAATTGTGTTATCTTGGGGGTGAAGATAAGGATTGACAGCCATCCTGGGATGCCCTTTTTTTCCTGGGTTCACAAGTTCAGAAGCAAGACCCTTGCAAATATTTGCACAGGACAGACCCACTTCCTTGATGGCTCTCTGCACCCTGGACTGAGGCGGAGTGGCATAGAGGGAGCTCTCCTCTCCCTCCTGGGATTGGTGAGGAAAGGGGGGGGGGTTAAAATTAAGGAGCACCCCGACTCCCTTGCTGGCCCCCTCCCTTTCCCTTCTCCCTCTGCCCCCTCCCTCCCAGCAAGTGCTGAGCGAGGAGTCAACTTTCTTCCCCTCCGCCTTGCTTGCCTGGCTCAGTGCGCCTTGGATTCTGGCTGCTGCTGTTGGAGGGACCTGCTGCTCTGCTCCTCGCCTCGCTTTCGGAGGGATCCTGGTATTTCCAAAGGGGGGAGAAGGCTCCCCACACGCCTCCCTTCCAAAGGCATCAGCCTCTCTCCCTCTCTCGGTCTCTCCTCTCCTCCTCGGATCCCGCCACTCTTCGCTTCCTCAACTGGCTTCCCTCCTCCATGCTGGTGGAAGGTCTCCGCCTGGAAAGATGAAGCTCCTCCGCTGGGTGCCTCTCCTCCTCAGCCCGTGGCTGCTGCAGAAGGTAACCGGGGGACTCCGCTTGCCTTTGGGGAGGGAAAGGGGAAAGGAAGGAAGGGAAGAAGTTGACGCGCCAACTTGGTCCTTTTGGCAGCGCCGAGGAGGAAAGAGAGAGAATACCGGAGCGGATGTCGGGGGAGATACACGCCGTCTCTCTCTCCTTCTCCCACATCCGCGCCTCCTCAGCCACTTGTTTGCAGCCACTTCGACCTCAATGGGAGACGCGTGTCTCCACAAAGTTGAGCCTGGCGCGTCGTTGGCGTCGGGAAGGGAGGCTCTCCTTTCCATATAAGCAGACCAATTTGGGTTAAATGGCAGTGTAGATAGATAGGAGTCTCTCCTTAACCCTGAAGAAGAAGGCGGGGGATTGTTATTGCTGTGGTGCCTCCCGAGAGCTGTGACTCGCCTAGCGAGCGAGGCGCGCAAAGTGTGAATGCAAGCTGCGTGTCAACGCGTATCGTGTGAATGCAATCGGGGCGGGGGGTGTGTGTGTCAGATCTGCGTGTAAACGTGTAAACCCGCCTGCCGAGCGAGGGGCGCGCGTATCATGTGAATGCAAACTGCTTGTCAACGCGTATCGTGTGAATGTAATCTTGGGGGGTGGGGTGTCAAACCCGCGTATAAACCAATCCCCGCCTAGCGAGCGAGGCGCGCGTATCGTGTGAACACAACCTGCGTGTCAACGCGTATCGTGTGAATGTAACCCGGGGAGAGGTGTCAAACCCGCGTGTAAACGAATCCCCTCCTACCGAGCGAGGCGCGCGTATCCTGTGAATGGAACCTACGTGTCAATGCATATCGCGTGGATGCAACCCGGGGGGGGGGGTGTCAAACCTGCGTGTAAACGAATCCCTCCTACCGAGCGAGGCGCGCGTATCGTGTGAATGAAACCTACGTGTCAACGCGTATCGTGTGAATGCAACCCGGGAGAGGGTGTCAAATCAGCGTGTAAACGTATCGCCGCCTACCGAGCGAGGCGCGTGTGTATCGTGTGAATGCAACCTGCGTGTCAACGCATATCGTGTGAATGCAACTCGGAGAGGGGGTGTTAAACCCGCTTGTAAACGTATCCCCGCTGTGCAGTGAGGAATATTCCTGGTTGTGTTGTTCGTTTTTTTATTACTTTCCTCCCTCCCAAACACCACCTCCAACACCCGCGTCGGTTTTTTGTTGGGCATTCAGCATTGGTTCTCATTCAGACGTTCAGAATACTCTTGTTGAATATTTGAAGAGTTGTTTTTTTGTTTTTTGCACTGAGGAAAAGCCGACACGTGGAGGCAGTGGTGGGCTCCCAGAGTTAAGGGCAAGCGGGCGGCGCATGTACGTGGGAAGGCCGCGCACGCGTGTCGCAACTGGGAACATGGTTTGCGTGTATCGTTCAAACACACGCATGTCAGAAGCACTGTTCTCACCATTTCCGGACTGGTCTTCAGTCTTACCTTATGGATGGGCCTGCTTCCCATCTCTGTCATCTCCATCTTTTGACAAGGATCCGGATTCCGCCTGGCATCCCAATCCAGGCACAAAGGTGTCCATAGAAGGAGCGCAAGAGACACCAGATCCCAAGGTTGCCTCGACATTTCCTCAGGAGGAAGCCAGCTAGCATACCTCACAACCTCTGAGGATGCCTGCCGCAGATGTGGGTGAAACATCAGGAGAGAATGCTGCTGGAACCATACAGCCCAGAAAACTCACAACAACCTATCAAGCATATCTCCCTCCTCTCCTCTTCCTCCTTCTCTTCATTGCTTTTTACTGAATCCATCCTGTCTTATCCAATTGGTGATCAGTCCACTCCTGGTGTACTCCAAAATGTACCATCCTGTGCGTTCTTTTTCCATTTCTGGCCGAATAGCTTAGCTGAATCCATACTAGGGAATAATGGAGTCATTTCAGCCCAAAGCTGCGACCTTTTGCCCCCGTTGTGCCTGTGGGCCCTATCCCAGAATATCAAGGCAGGAAATCCCACATTGTCTGAGTGTGGACTCAGATAACCCAGTTCAAAGCCGATATCGTGGGATTTTCTACCTTAATATTCAGGGATATAGGGTTGTGTGGGTGGGCCTTGAGTCCACACTGCCATATATTCCAATTCAAAGCAGAAATTTTGGGGTTTTAAGCCGATAGTGTGGGAAGGGTCCTAAGTTGCCTGTGCATTTCTGCTCAGTCTGTGGAAACTCTATAGTCTGAAAAGCCAGGAGTGCAGCTGCGGAGTCTTCTCCGTCTCCTGCCTCTCGCCTTCTCTCCATCAATCAGATCTCTTGCTTTTCTCAAAGACCCGTTGGTTACCGGTTAGGAAGAGGTGCCGCCCTGGCAGCCGTTTGAAGAACTCAGCTGGGACTTGGGCTATTTCCAAAGCCAATCTCGCCACGAAAAACCTGCCCTCTCCTGACCCTGGATGCCAGTCTTCTGAGAGGAGGGATATCTACCTGACACACAAGTTGTCCATACGTATAAATGGTGTTTCTCTCGATTACTACTTTTGATGGAGCCCCCAGGGACGCAATGGGTTAAACCCTTGTGCTGGCAGGACAGTCGGCAGTTCAATTCCAGAGAGCAGAGTGAGCTCCCATCTGTCAGCTCCAGCTTCTCATTCAAGGACATGAGAGAAGACATGGGAGGCTTCTCTCATGTCCTTGAATGAGAAGCTGGAGCTGACAGATGGGAGCTCACTCTGCTCTCTGGATGGTAAAACACCAAAACTCCCGGCATCCAATGGGCAACATCCTTGCAGACGGCCAATTCTCTCATACCAGGAACGACTTGCAGTTTCTCAAGTCGCTCCTGATATATATAAAAAATCTATCTTTGCTTTCCCACTACCACCATCACATACCTGCAGGTAGAGGCTTCAAGTAGTATTTCCTTGTGCCTAATGTTTCTTCATTATTTTTTTATCTATTTATTTATATGCCGCCATTGTCACCTCGAAGGGGACTCATAGCGGCTTACAAGTAAAAAGTAAATACAATATATTAGATTATTGTCATAGCACAATATTAATATTATATATTATATTGTACTATAATATTATTAGTAATATTACATTTAATATAAAATATATAATTATAATATCATTTTATTATTAGTAATAATGTATTGTATTACATTATAATATTATCAATAATTATATGTATATACAATATATTATATTATATTATATTAGAGTAGATTAGATTATAAGCACAGTGCAGGAGACAAGATGGAACTGCCTTCCTGGCCCCTTTCTGATCTCAGAGCAGCCGTGGTGCTGGGGGGGGGGCTCCCAACTGATGACACTGGAGGCAAGATGGAACTGCCTTCCTGGCCCCTCTCTTCACTCTGATCTCAGAGCAGTGGTTGGTGCTGGGGGGGGGGAGGCTCCCAACTGATGACACTGGAGGCAAGATGGAACTGCCTTCCTGGCCCCTCTCTTCACTCTGATCTCAGAGCAGTGGTGGTGCTGGGGGGGAGGGGGCTCCCCAACTGATGACACTGGAGGTAAGACGGAACTGTCTTCCTGAACCCTCTCTTCACTCTGATCTCAGAGCAGCGGTGGTGTTGGAGGGGAAGGGGGCTCCCAACTGATGACACTGGAGGCAAGATGGAACTGCCTTCCTGGCCCCTCTCTTCACTCTGATCTCAGAGCAGTGGTGGTGCTGGGGGGGAGGGGGCTCCCCAACTGATGACACTGGAGGTAAGACGGAACTGTCTTCCTGGCCCCTCTCTTCACTCTGATCTCAGAGCAGTGGTGGTGCTGGTGGGGGAGGGGGCTCCCAACTGATGATACTGGAGGCAAGATGGAACTGTCTTCCTGGCCCCTCTCTTCACTCTGATCTCAGAGCAGTGGTGGTGCTGGGGGGGAGGGGGCTCCCCAACTGATGATACTGGAGGCAAGATGGAACTGTCTTCCTGGACCCTCTCTTCACTCTTATATTATATTATATTATATTATATTATATTACAGAGTGCAGGAGGCAAGATGGAACTGCCTTCATGGCCCCTCTCTGATCTCAGAGCAGCGGTTGGTGCTGGAAGGGGGTGGGGGCTTCCAACTGATGACACTGGAGGCAAGATGCAACTGCCTTCATGGCCCCTCTCTTCACTCTGATCTCAGAGCAGTGGTTGGTGCTGGAAGGGGGGGGGGGTCCCAACTGTTGACAGGAGGCAAGATGGGACTGCCTTCCTGGCTCCTCTCTGATCTCAGAGCAGCGGTGGTGCTGGAGCGGGGGGGCTCCCAACTGCTGACACTGGAGGCAAGATGGAACTGCCTTCCTGGCCCCTCTCTTCACTCTGATCTCAGAGCAGTGGTGGTGCTGGGGGGGGGGAACTGATGACACTGGAGACAAGATGGAACTGCCTTCCTGGCCCCTCTCTTCACTCTGATCTCAGAGCAGTGGTGTGCTGGGGGGGGGGGGGGCTCCCAACTGATGACACTGGAGGCAAGATGGAACTGCCTTCCTGGCCCCTCTCTTCACTCTGATCTCAGAGCAGTGGTGGTGCTGGAGGTGGGGGGAGGGGCTCCCAACTGATGACAGATGGGACTCCCTTCCTGGCCCCTCTCTTCACTCTGATCTCAGAGCAGTGGTTGGTGCTGGGGGGTGGGTCCCAACTGATGACACTGGAGGCAAGATGGAACTGCCTTCATAGTAGCATAGCTTGATTTTTAAACCAGACCCGTTAGCTTCCTCTTGGAGGCTTCCTTCTCTCATTTATCCAGTTGAGAAGCACTTCAAGCCAAAGTATTATTAAATAATTGCAGGGGCCTTCCCACTTAGACCTCTCCCACCTCCTCCTGTTGTTGTTCCCGGGGCTTTGAGAGTGTTTTCTCCCCATTTCCCCAATATAATGCTATTTAGAGAACTGATTCTTCAAGGAATGATTTTTCCCCTGTGATTTGGAACCAGGGAACTTCCTTTTTTCCCTTTAGACCAGGCGAACAATAGCTCCCAATAAGGGTCATAAAATTTGGGATTCTTTTCTGCCTGCTGCACACACATCTGCCTGCCTTTGTGCGTGCGTGCA